CTTGACTGTTGAGAGCTTTTTAATATTAAATAAAAAGCTAAAAGATGCAATGCCAGCATTAAAATCATTAAATCTCTCTTCTATTGCAATAGTGGCACATTCAAATATTTTATTAAAATCATCTTGTTTATACTTTTCTTTTGGACATAACTGTTTTTCAAAGTTTTGTTCAGGTTCATCAAAGAATCTCTTTTTTTTTTGGACTCTTGAAGCAGATTCTGATGCAAAACTTTCTTCTACCTTTAAAAAAGAAGCAAGTTCTTGTGCAATACACACAACAGAGTCAATTTTTCCCGTTTGTAATTTTTCTTAAAAAAATTTATCGTTCTTTCCATTGCTTTTAAAGCCTCTGAAATATTCGTTGAAGCTGCTTGAAGTTGTTTGCTAGTCAAATCAATTTCGAATAAAACTTTATGCCAAATTACGATCGAACACAAAAAATCACTTAACGGTTTAACTGTTAAAGATGGACACTTTGATTGCAAAATTAACCATCTTTTTGTTAAAGCAGAAAAAAAATTGTAAACTTGATCAATTATATTGAAAAACATAGCAATTTTAGGTGAACATCTCAAAGAATCAACAACTGCCAAATTTAATGTGTGACTGCAGCATGGAATATAAACCGCTCTGTTGTTTTTCTACCGACAAGTTATTTTTTACCAGAGAGTCAATAATCTCATTTAATAAATCTAGACCTGTCGAACCTTCAATTAAATGAAATCCAATAAAACTTTCATTAATGTGAATTTCGTTCTTATCCTCTACATCAACATATCGTACAGCATTGACATTTGCTCCTGGTGACTGATATCTGGTGTACAATCAACAATAATTGAAAAATACTTGGACTTTTGGACATTTGAGCAAATTTTAAATTTAATGGATTTGCCAATCAAGTAAATGATTTCATTCTGAATATCTTTTGCCAAATAGTGCACAGAAATTGTTTTTTTTTTGCTCTAAACAAATGTTTTTCCGTAACTGGATCAAATTCAGCCAAAAATTCTAAAATTTTTAAAAAGTTTCCATTATTATCATGACTTTATCATAGACTTTGTCACAAGAGCCTCTGAGAGGCATATTTTGCTTTGCCATCATAATAGTTAGAGAAATTAATTTTCTCATTACGTTGTTCCAATGTTTTACTTCTTTAATTAAGTTTTTATCCAAAATTTTATCAATTAAAGTGCCTTTTTGTAATCTGTTTTTCAGATCCACCCACTTGCTGTAGCAGTTAAAATGATCAAGACTTTTTTCGTGTCTTTTTAAGAATCGTGAAATATGGCGCCAATCATTACCACCATTTTGAGCCTTAACATAATAGGATTTAAACAAAAAAGTTTACAACAAAAACAAAAAACTTTGTTTGCTTTTTGTGAATAAACTAACGACATTCTATGATTTTTTTCACCATTATCTATGACGCGGTAAAAATAATGATTTGAAAAACTCAAATTATCAACATTTCTTGGTTAGTTATTAGAACCTTCTTTGAAACTGTTAGGACCTTTTATAACAGCATCTTGTATAAAATCAATGTTTAAATTTTCCTGCCAATCGCTGATATCGTCAAAGTATTCTGAAGTAGCCGCAGTTTCATTCAATCTTTCAATTGTTTGAATAGTTTCAACTGAATTAGTAGATTCAGTTGATTTGCTTTCATTTCCAGAATCAGCTATATTATGAATTAATGGACTTTCTTTGGCTATTTTATCATGATGAGTTTTTAATAAATTTTTTTTTAAAGATGTTTGATTTGATTTCAATAGTTCCTCTTTTCGTAGGCGTTTTTGTTTAAATTCCTAACCTGAAAATTTTCTTTTCTCCATTATTCTCTTTGAAAGAAACCAATAAATATTATAAATAGTTTTATAGCAATAGTTAGATAACTTTATATCATAAAAAAATTATTGATACTCTCAAATAAGAGCGCTAAAACACTTTAGAACGAAAAAATATTTAACGCAAAAAAAAAAACTAATTATAAAGCTTAAATTTCTGAATTAATTTATAAAAAAACGTTTTTTTAATTTAAAACGCTTTTATAAAATTTCTTGTTTAAAACACAAACGATTTTTTAAAGAAATGTTTGCTTTTCTTTAGAAGTTAATTTCGATCCAATGATTCTTTCCTTTTTTTGAATGGGTTCGTTTTTGCGCCGCAAGTAAAAACAACTTTACTAGACAATGTCAATGATTGGTTAGCGGAAAAACTCAAACATGATTTTTTTTTTAATTGGCTGAAACATTTTTAAAATTGTACAATAAATAAATTTATGAAAAATAATAATTTTTTTTTGGAGTAATTATAGTTTTTAAATAAAATATTATAAACTAATTTTTATATAAATAAGTATACAAATTTTTATATAATTATTCCTATAAATTTATATATTTTCATACTCTCAAAAAAAAAATATATATATATTTAACATAAATTTGGCGCCTTAGTCGCCTTTGCGCCTGGGTATATATATATATATATATATATATATGTATATATATATATATATATATATATATATATATATATATATATATATATATATATATATATATATATATATATATATACATATATATATATATATATATATATATATATATATATATATATATATATATATATATATATATATATATATATATATATATATGTGTATATATATATATATATATATATATATATATATATATATATATATATATATATATATATATATATATATATATATATACACACACACATATATATACATATATATATATATATATATATATATATATATATATATATATATATATATATATATATATATATATATATATATATACACACACACACACATATATATATATATATATATATATATATATATATATATATATATATATATATATATATATATATATAGCATGTAATTTATTATAAAAGTAGTCACAAAACCAAGAACTTTTGAGACACTAGTGTTTCATTTCTTAAACATAAATTTTGGCACTCTTAGTTTATGTGTCCAGTTGCAGAAATTAAATTTAGCCTAAGCTTTGTTGTATGTAAGTGAAGAGATTAATTTGATGTTCTCTTTGCAATAATAAGGTTTTTGCGATTGTAACATATTGTAACATTTCATATATTGAAGTCAGAGTTCTGCAGTCTTAGATTGCGATTTCAGAGATTTCATGAAATTGTCTATTTTACTTGAAACGGTGATAAATTGTTCTGTTTCTACAAACTAATTAAATTCGTCTTTAGTTAAAGTACTTTTTATTGTTTTTTTTAAAAATAGGTTGAAACGACGAAAGATTAATCTCTCCGTCATTAAAAAGGATATCCAGCAGTATAACTTCAAGGGCAATTTCTGTTAGAATGTGCGCTGAAAGCGACCTTGCAATAGCTTTTCCGAACATCGTAAAACTTTACCGTAAAATTCACGGTACTATTGCACCGTTAATGCGTTTTACGGTACAATACCGTTTATATTACGGTACCTTGGCCGTGAACACTAATTTACGGCGTTGTTTAACTACTTCACGGTATACTAACGTTAAAATTTGGAGAGATTTTATGTAAGTATGGGTTGCCATTTTTTTTTTATGTTTATTTCTTAAATTCTATTTGAAATATTTGTATATGTTCTAATAATTGATCCTGAAATTAATAAAATAATATTATTTTTTTCAATGACATTTCTTGTTGCACATTATTTATAATATAAGGATATAAGATTGCACTTTATTTATAATATAAGGATATAAGATATTTATAGTATAAGGATATAAGATATAATACAAGAATATAAGATAAGGATATAAAAAACGTGTTTGATATCTTTGAAGATATAGTCTGAAGCTTCACGTTATATTTAGTATATAGCTGTTTAGCTATATCTTAAAGATATCTAAGCTATCATAACTAAATTAAGCCATATGATATAGTATATATACTATATCATATAGCTTAAGAACCTAACTAGCTAGGTTCTTACGCTAGCTGTGATATAAATATTATCTATATCACAGCTAGTGATATACACAGTAAAAAAATTACCCGTTATAATTTTAAAAAACATAACGCTAGTTTTCGTGTTTTATAACGGGTAATTGGCGTTATGTTCAATGTTTAATTCGTATGAAAATAACATAACGGTAACTGCCGTCATGTTTTTTTCATACGAATTATACTTTGAACATAACGGGTAATTGGCGTTATGTTCAATGTTTAATTCGTATGAAAATAACATATCGGTAACTACCGTTATGTTATTTTCATACGAATTATACATTAAACATAACGGGTAATTGGCGTTATGTTCAATGTTTAATTCGTATGAAAATAATATAACGGTAACTACCGTTATGTTATTTTCATACGAATTATACATTGAACATAACGCCAATTACCTGTTATAAAACACGAAAACCGGCGATATGTTATCCGTTATGTTTAAAAACCTGATATAACGGGTAATTACCCGTTATGTTTAAGAAAAGTTTATTAATCTTAAAATATGCTCTTTTTATCCATAATAACCAATTCACTAAAAACAAAACTATATAACTATATAACTATATATATATATATATATATATATATATATATATATATATATATATATATATATATATATATAAATTGTTAGTTATAACTAATGTATGTGTATAATATACGTGTATACACAACTAGTTAAAATAAATTTTTTATAAAACAGTTTGCGCTGGAAAAAGACATTAACTGCGTTGTATACTTATGAGGAAAAAGGTTTTTTTCATTCTAAGAAACTCCAAAATACTGGTTCCTACGGAAATATTTACTCTGCTCGATATTGAACTATTTAACAGAGTGAATATTTCCATAAATATCCATACATTTTGGATGTTAGATAAGATTTTTATCTTCTTCATAAGGATAAAATGTAATTTATGTCCAATGGCAGGTCAAATGCTTTGCAAATACTTTTATTAGTGTTAGTTTGTAATTATTATAAATTATTCTATATATCGTGTAGTTTAGGATCATGCATATATATTTCAAATAAACTTTACATTATTCCGAAAAGAGTTCAACAGTGCAGTGCACTTTTTTGATTTAAAAATAAATTGTTCAAATTCACATATCTCTTGAAAAAAACCAAGCAGCTGCCCAAAACAAGATTGATATGATAAGTCCAATAAATAATACACAATAACTAAAATCACCACCATCTCACTGGTGCTGACTAATGGCTGAGTGTCCATCTCAAGACCATGTCTACTCCTTATGCCATACTCCTTGTGGTTAAAAATCACTTGGGGACCATACGAACTTGGCACTCTTATGTATTCTCCAATAGAGTCACACTAAAAAATATATAATAGTATAATAGTAAAATATTTCAAAAAACTATTGTGAAAATTTTAAAAGTACACATTCCAGTTTAAAATCATTTTCATGAAAAAATTAAACAAATACACAAAAAGAAAAGACAAAAAAGAAAAGTTTCATGGAAACATAGACATGTATGTTGTTGTTTAATTCAAAATAAATTCAAAAATTCAGGTGATAAACTTACATCCACTTTCATAAACAATTTGTCACATGTCTTCTTGGAAATAAGTTTCTGTTGGAGCTTTAACAAATTTTCAGTGTGGTTACCAGACTCTGGAGAAATCCAAAATAACATTGCTTGAATCTTGATTATAGCATCCTTGAAATCGGCATAAAAGCGAATTGCTTCCTCCAGCATTAGTGTAGGAGCAAAATTAATTCTCTTCGGTATCATGCTAAATGTCTCATTATCAAATAGTTGTCTATTTAAAATGGACAAGGTTGGCTGTTACGGCTTTTTTTTTTTTAATTCATTCTAAAATGAAAAGTAATAGTAGATTTTAAACATATACAAGAGCTATAAAAGTTACTCTAATAAAAATTGAAATAAATTAAGAGAAAACATTTTACAATATACAAGTAATATAAATATTTCTTAAATCCATAAATAACATTTTTCTTACTTCAACATCTTTTAATAACTGCTTTTGATTAGCTACCAATTCAGTCACAACAGGTTTAAGTTTCCTATTGTTATTTTTCCTTTTCACCTTTAAGCTGTGACACTTGGTATACTGTCGTTGTCGATAATTGTTTAGCAACTTTTTAAAAATGAGATCCTAACATAACCAAAATATAATCTTATAGTTTATAAAATAAAAGTAACAAAATAGCAAATTCATGAGGCTGTTTGCTAAACAAATGCATAAATTGTTAAAATAAACTTTTAAAAAACATTAACTTTTAAAATTTACTTAATAATAATACATAATACAATCACTATTTAAACCAAAAAGTACATGAACTTAAAAAGAATAAAATCTTTAAATGCAAAATTAATACTATCACTTTTAGTATGAACAAATTAGACTAACAAATACAATATTAAACATAATGTTTCACTAACCCATCGTTGACCATAACAAGGATATAAGCTGAGACAAATCGACTTTAACTTTGAAAAGAATGTTTTATGCAGAAGAACTCTATTTTCAATGATAGCATGAGTTGGGATATGGGAGAAGCAGAATGATAAGAGACAAGCCATTAATTCTCTGGCCACAATCTTATCTTCTACTACAGAATTGCTGCTAACAAAATGTTTAATGTGTGGAGGAAAGTAATTAATGAGTTGTTGTCTAACATCACCAACAAAAGAAGTTCTATCAATCTAAACCAATATGCAAGTAGATAGTAATAACATAATATTAGGAGAAACTCATTATTAAATTAGACACCATAAAAGTTTCAAATAAAAAAATGCAAATTTATCTTTAAAATAAAATATTTAGAAAAAGTTATAAACTATATTATAGTTTATAACTTGTTCTAAATGTTTTATTTTAAAGATACATTTTATAGTATAACACTTCTAAACTCAAAAAATGTTTTTTATCAATATCAGGATGTAAGCCTGACAATGGCACCGCCAATATATCGGAAGTCCCAATTGAAAAATTTAAAATTCTAAAGATTTAAATTCCTAAAACTCAATTAACTTTAAAAAAAAAGTAGTAGTTGTATGACAATATATATTCCCAATATCGAATAAAAGCTATACAAACATATATATATATTATATATATATATATATATATATATATATATATATATATATAATATATATATATATATATATATATATACACATATATATATACAGATAAATATATATATATATATATATATATATATATATATATATATATATATATATATATATATATATATATATATATATATACATATATATATGCATATAAAATGACGCAAAATAACATTTAAAAACTATGTCAAAAATAATTTGTGGCAATATTATTTTTTCAGTAAACTTTTGGTTGTAGTTTCTCACTCTGTAAATCGGTGCATATGTACTCTATGAATGACCGTAGCTATTTAACTACAAGTAATATCATGGCAGTGCTGGGGGTACAATATAGAAGGTACCAGCCTCTTTAAAGTAAAATGCAGGCCAAGGAAAAGGAATGCTTTCAGGTGAAATAGGTGTTGAAGGAATAGAAATATCTTCAATGCCACTAAAAAACCCTCTTATCTCATCATATGCAACAGACTGGAGCTGTGTTGTAATAAATAACTTTCTGTCACCTCTGACTTGTATCTCCTGAATTATATAAATAAAAAATTGTGAACCACTATGAAACCATAAACATGACCCAAGACAATATTGAATACCATTAACCTGAATACGAGATATTACATTTTACTTAAAAGTTACTCTAATTCACAGAGAACTCCATTATTCAACTCACCAGAAGAGCTGTAAAAAGATGAAACAGTGTTTAAAATCATCCCCTTTAGGGCAGTATATGGCATATTTTTAAAATTAAAATGTCTGATATTTTTAATTACTTGGTGTTTTCTCTCAAATCCCATGCACATGTGGTATCGTAGAGGACCAAATTGTCTGGATTGTTGTGGATAATGTATGAGAAAATGAAGCTTAGGTATAAATTTTTCTGGATATAATTCCATAAAAAGTGTATGATAAGCAGCTATTTTTTCCTCTAAGCAAAATAAATAAGCGTCAGTGGTAATAGGAGAAAGACATAGTTGAAGTATATGAAGAAGTTTAATTAGGCATAAAAAATGAAGATCAATCTCAGTGGTTCTCAAAAAAATTGGCAAAACACGACAAAGAGATAACACCTGAGCACTTCCAAATTTTCCCTTAATAACTAAATCGACTATTATCGGTGGTTTTTCACTGTCCTGTGGATACTGAAAGCACTTTACAAAGTCATTTAGGCTATCTAGTGTAAATAAACCTTGAAAAACAGCATTATTTAAGTAAAGTTTTATCTGTAAAGGAATTACACCTTCTAACAAATCGTGCATGGGATCAAAAAGCACTTGTTTTGTGACATCAAAATTTTTAATCTCTGATAAAATGCTTGCAGAATGAACACCATTTAATTTTGACCATTTTTGACGTTGTTTGGGAGGTAGAAATGGATTATTAAGTTCTTTGACTCTTATCTTATGTTCTTCTATATCACGAACAATACACTGAGAATGTCTATTATGAATAAGCATATCTGAACGAGTAGAATTGCAAACTCGACAACACCTAAGAACCTTCCTGTTAAAGCCTTCCTTAAAACCAGCAATTGCATTACATGCTAATGAATCACCAATGAAGTTCTTCAATTTAACTGTGAATCGCTTACCCTTAGTATTGGTTAAAGTTGAAGAATCAAATAAAGATAGCTTATTTAGCGATTGAACTAAATCAAGCAGAAGTGATTTCATGAAGCTTTTATTTTTAACTGATTTAGAAACAGTTATTGATAAGGGAAATATTGAAAAAGTTTTACTGAGGCTATAATCAGCTACATTTAACAACTGAAAATACAAAACCCACAACTTGTACTTTCCTCTCGATTTACCTATTGGATTGGTAATACCTATATCATCTGAAAACAATGAAATCAATATTTCAGAAGAATTCTCTAAACACTTATCATATTCAGGGGATATTAAAATAAACTTAAGTATTTCTTTAAATGAAATATAGCATCCCTGTAAGCCATTTTTAGATATAGATTCAACTTTTGGCACATTAAAAGCATTTTAAAAGTACTGCTTTCTTGAATATTCTGCTGATAATTGCTGGCAAGTTGTAGATAGCTCCTCTTTTGGGGTGTTATCAGTTAAAATATCTTTTAAATTTGAAAAAACACTATTGACTACATTTTCAGAACATCTATATTTTCCTCTCAGGTGTAAAACTAATGCACCAAGCTTTCTATTCTCTGAAGGAATCTCAATGTCATCAATTTCTTCAACAGTGTCATCAATTTCTTCAACAGTGTCATCAATTTCTTCAACATCTTCAATCATAGTAATTGGAATGAGACTTTTTATAATGAAGTTGAAAACCTCTAACACTTTTAAATTTAGAAAAACAATTATCGCATACTACTGAACCTGCCTGACCATGTAATTTAAGATGAGATATCATTATATAATGTCTATATGTTTTAAAATCACAAATACAACAATTTAACCTTACTTTTTGGATTGCATTTGTTAGTGGATTAGATGTTAAAGCCACTTGAGCAGTATAGGATGGTTGACTGGAAATGCCTGCCAATGAAGACTGCGAAAATGCACATTTTTGAGGTAAAGCTTCTTGAATAAAAACTGGTTCAGTTACATGTGCTGTGCTCTCTAGATTTGTCACGGGTAAAGATAAACACTGCTGTGGTGAAGAAGCATGAAAATTTTCAAGGTCAATGTATACAGGGTTTTTAACAGGAGAAAAATCATTTAAACTTTGGCAAAAAGAGCTTGAATAAAGTTTAGACACTGGCAAAGACAAGGCCTCAACTTCCAGATTTTGCTTATTTAGAATGGCAACAAAAGTATCTTCATCGACATTACATCCATTCCATGTGATTCCACAAATGTTCCCACTTGTACTAGCAAACTTCTTGGAAACTAAAATAACACAACACAACTTTGAAACTAAAATAAAAACAAAACATAAATTTTCTAATATTTTTCTAATAGGCTCTAAGCATATTTCAAATTTATTTAAAAAGAATTTTCAAAATAAAAAGGTTATGTGGCGTAACTTTGACACCAGACTTTGACAACCCCACCTAAAAGCAGCCACTTAAAATAAAACATATAATAAAATATATATTTATGTGTATAAATAAAGATAAATTTTATTTTATGTTGAAATGTATCTGTTTAAAGTGGGCAGTCTGTTTTTTAAGTTAACTTGACTATAGTCAAGTTTATATAAGTTAACTTTAAAAACATATAAGAAATAAAAAAAAACATAACTTTAAAAACTTATAAGAATTAAAATGAAAATATTAAATAGATATACATTTGAAAAAATTTACTTAGGCAATATTATTTAATAACAATAATTCTTAACAACAATCAGTAAACATTATTAAATGTAAATTTCTGAAATTTTTAAAAATAAATATGCATACTATTATTCAAAAAATCATTAATACTGCTATTATTAGCAATAACAATTTTTCGCTCTCCAAGGTGCTTAACAAGAACAGCTTTGACCATTTTAACTTCTTCTTTGATTTTTCTTTTCTTTACTATATCAATTATGAAAGTAATGGCATTAAACCATGTTTTGTATAAATATTATTTTGTATAAATAATAAGGCACGTTAAATAATAAAATTAAAAATAAAATAATAATAAGGCACGTTAACTAATATAATATTTAAATCATATATTATATGATTTTACTTAGGGATTTATATATATATATATATATATATATATATATATATATATATATATATATATATATATATATATATATATATATATATATATATATATATATATATATATATATATATATATATATATATATATAAACTAATATTATAATTTTACTGGAAAACATTATGTTTTCCAGTAAAATTGATATATTTATTATATGCATTATATTTTACCGTTGTTATATATAGCTTATGCATTACGATATATATATCAACGATTTATAAATCGTTTTATTTTGCTACAAATAGTCAACCATATTTTTTTTTTTTAAAAAGTCTTGTGCAACGAATAAACAGTCCTAAAAGATTCTTTCATTTCGCGTTTTTTTTTTTCGCGCTTTTTTTTTCTCCATAGATTACATATTTCCAATTTACCGTTATGTTTACCGTTATGTTTACTAAACATAACGGTAAACATAACGGTAAACATAACGCCTTACATTTATATAAAAATATACAAATAACTGTGGCCAACATAACGCTTTAGACATGTTTATTACTAACATAGCGGTAAACATAACGCCAAATTTTTCATTTACCGTTATGTAACCGTTATGTTAGCGTTATATTTTTTGCTGTGTAGATAATATCTATATCACAGCTAGCTGTGATATAGATATTATCTATATCACAGCTAGAGATATAGATAATATTTATATCACACCTAGATATAGATGTTATCTATATCTTTCTGTTATATACACATGATATTGATATATATTTCTTTTTTTAAGATAATGTTTTCTATTAAAAGTAATATTTTAAAAACTCTGCTAAATATTGATGGATGTGTTTTGAACCAGGTTGTCAAAAATTTGTTGCCAGTGAAAAAGATATTGATGAACACAGATCTGTGAAAGTCTCATCCTCTAAAACTACTCCTTCAGTTTTTACGTCGTTACAATTGAATAACAATGAACTTATATTTTCCTCAGATAACTTGAACGGGTCAAAAGAATCAAAACGTGCAACTTTGTTACTTAAGTAGTGAAACTATTCATTTATTTTGGTCATAACTGTATCTAAAACACTGAGTAGTAGGTTTCACATTTAAAGCGTGTAGTTCTATCATCAACTCTTTCATCTCTCCACAGCTCTCCTGTCATGTGTTTCTTTTTAGCAACTAACCTTTCTTTAAATACAGTTTCTACATGTTCTTCAGATTCTCCTAGATTTACATCTTCTAGAGTGGCTATAGCCTCTCATGAATCTTTTTTTTGCTATTCTATAGAATAGCAGAAAAAGATTCAACAACAGCAGCAACTTGTTTGTCAGGTCAGGTTATTCTGCTACTGGTAACATGTAATTCAGTACAACCTGCTTCATGTCCTGCTGCCTTGTAGAATACGCTATTTTAGGCAAAGGTTAGGAGAAGTCAACTCCGCCTTAAAACACCCCATGCCTTGGGGCTCTTAGTTAAGTAAAGGCTAGAGATGATGTCTCGAGAAAAGTACTTATCTCGGGCAAATGTTAAATGCATCCAGCTACTGTCTTGTAAAAGGCCTCGCACCCCTTCTCTATCTATTAGACTGGCGCAGATATATTTGTAATACATTGTTTTCAGTTTAGGATGTTAAACGCTGGATCTTCTTGACTTAATTCAGGGGTTTTGCTTGTGTCTTTATTTTTATGACTAGGCAACTCATTTTGATATCTCATAATGAGGGTACAGTTCTGAAAAAAAATTATATGGTTTTGAGACCGGCGGGTAGTCAGGTTTACCTGACTACCAGCCGGTAGTCAGGTAAACCTGACTAACGGCTACCAAAGGTTTAACTCTATGGGAGCTCTCAGAGAGGCTGATTCCATCAAGAGCTGAAAAATATAAGAGTACTAACAGTGCCATGCTGCTCATGGATGGTGTTCCTGTTTGCACTTTTAGTGTGCATTGTTTATTAATAGTAATGAGGCAGTTGCGTTGACTATTAAATAGAGTACTGAGTACTATCTATGCTTGAATCAAGTTCTTCAAAAAATATAAAATGACTAAAGTACCAAAACTATAAAAACACAAAAAACCATCGTCATCATTAACTAACATTCGTGGTCTTTAAAGTAACTTTTATTCTGTTAAGTCTTATCTCTTGCAAAGTTCACCAAACCTACTTGCTCTTTGTAAGACTATTTTAAGTTCAGGTGTCTCATTTTATGATCTTAGTGTTGAAGGTTATCTTCCTTTAATTCCTAAAGTCTCCAACAGTCACATGCTTGACCTGCAGCCGTATTCACGTCTTGAATTCCCGGTAATTTAACGGAGAGTTCAAGTGACCGTTAAAAAAAAATTGTTAACGGGCCGTTACAAAACGGATGGAGAAAAATAGTATTTTTGTCCTTCCGTTAAGTTACTATTTATTAACCGCTCCGTTAACTTTGTCAGTTAAATTTCTTCCGTTAGCCCGCTTCGTTAGCTAACTTTCGTGCTGTTTTTTACATAGCATCCAAATGTTACAATGCCAACTGGCACATAATATTGTTTAGATGGTACATCACAGCATGATTTTTTAAAATGTTTGCTGCGTAATCTTTTAAACTTAATTTAAACAAGTTAAAGTAATAAGCCGTTTTAGGACTTGTTCTAAGGACTAATAAACGTTTTAGACTTGTACTAAGTACTAATTTTTTATATTTTTAAATTAAACTTTTTATATTTTTAGAGTTAAAAAATATATAAACACCATCAAAAAAATTGAATTGGAGCTACATAAAACTATGAAATGGAGTTACTCTATACAACTCTATCGCTCTATCACAAATTAACAACAAATACAAAATTAATAAACGATTTATTATTATAAAAAAGGAATTTGAAAATGTGTAAATTTATTTAGATAAAATATGTTCAAAAATGTCGCAAAGCAAAATCATCACGAAATTGGAAATTGTTTTCAGCTACTATTTCTTCATTATCATTTTCATCATTTTCGATTGGATTTTCATCCATGTCTCCGTCATTTAACTGTATTGCTAAATTGTGCAATACTGCGCACGCAGCAACTAAGGTACAGGTTCTTTCAGGGGTAATTCAAATTTCACCATGAAGCAAATGAAAGCGTCTTTTCCACCATCCAAACACTTGTTCAATTATAACTCTTGTTTTTCTTAAAGAAATATTATATCTATGCTGAGATGCTGTAGTTGGATTTAAATAGGGCGTCAGCAACCAACGAACACACGGATAGCCGGAATCACCAATAAGTAAGCCTTTAAAAGTTCCATCCATAAATTTCTTACCAAGTTTTGACTCTCTTAAAATCCTTGCATCACGTGTGCTCCCAGGCCATTTTGCAACAACATCAATGAACTTTCCTTTGTTGTCACACACCGCTTGGACATTGATTGAATGATTTGATGACCTATCAACATAAGGATATTCGTATTCGTGTGGTTTCTGTATGCAAATATGCGTGCAATCTATTACGCCAGTTACTTTTGGAAATTCTGCAAATTCATAAAATTTCACTCTGCTCTCGTTTAAAAGCTGTTGATTTGTTGGGTATTTGATGTATTCATTAATTCGTTTCGCTAGACTTAAAGAAACTCGACAAATGATTCTTGAAATAGTCGGTTGACTTAAAGCTGCTGTAGAGTCACCAACCACAATTTGAAAAGATCCTATTGCATAAAATTGAAGTGCACATAACAATTGCAAAATAGGTGCCACAATTAAAGCTTGGTTTGACTTTGGCTGTAAATCTATTTGCAGCAAATCTGTCAAATAGAAAATAGATGCTCTAAGAAACCTAAACCTTTTATATAAGTCTATGTCATCATAAATATCGAGTGGGTTGTTTTGGTCTCTGAATATTCTTTCTCGTCTGAGAGCTCTTTCGACAGCAATTTCTTGACGTCTAACTTCTGCAAAAACCAGTTGCATATGTATGAATCGGGGCATTATGAAATATGCTTACCTTACGATGAAACAATATTGAATACTCTTTATTCTATATGTTTAATGTTAATGCTTTTAGTTTTACTTCATTTATATATAACGGCATACTTAAAAAATATTGTATATTGCAAAAATATAGCAGCACAGACTCATTACAACTTCATTGTTTCCTGGCAATATTTAGCAAATAGCATGGTAGTGATAAATATTTGCTAATCGTTTTTAGGCAATGTTTAATGAATACCATCATAGTAATAAACATATTTTAATCGTTTCTTATCAATGTTAAACAAATACCGTCATAGTAATTACAAATGAATTTAGACAACAAATAATACATGGTAACTTGAAACTTCTTTTTAATTACTTAATAAATTTGTTATAAATTGTGTAAAATTATTTTGTTTTAATTATACAATTGATTGTTAATAGTTATATTAAAATTTAAAAAATCACAATGGAACTACCAACTGTGTACCAACTGTAAAAACTCTAAAGAAACGTGCACACAGAGGAAAAGTCTATACGACAGAAGAGAAATGGTTGTTGGTAACGAAGTATGAAGAGCATAAGGAGGTTCTTCTATCAAAGGATGGAAAAGCAGAGATTAGGAGCGAAAGAAATCTCATATGGAATGAGGTAATCCTTTGTATTATATTGATTGAAAGATAAAAATACTCATCAAATATAAATAATTTATTACTTACTTTTTAGATCACCGATGCTTTAAACAGCTTAGGATACGATAAAAGAACAGTTTCGAGCGTGAAAAGTTTATGGGATAATCTTTTAAAAACAGCAAAAAAAAAGAGATTTGTGCAACAAAAAAAATTCCAACTGGAGGAGGCCCAGCGATTATTTTATCAGGAATGAGCAAGAAAATAATAGCTATATACGGAGAAAATTCTCTAATATTTTTAGGGTTGGAAGGTGTGGAAACCAATGACATTGAGGTCGTATCCGTATCTGTAACTGCAGATAAAAAAGTGACAACGAAAATAACTTAGAACAAATCA